GAAGACATCTGCCCTTGTGCTGAACAGACTGCACTCTGGTACCACGAGATGCAGAGCCAACCTTAAGAAATGGGGCCACAAAGTGGAATCCATGATGTGCAAGTGTGGAGAAGAGCAAACTACAGACCACCTGCTGCAATGCAACCTGAGCCCTGCCACATGCACAATGGAGGACCTTCTTATAGAAATACTAGAGACACTCCAAGTGGCCAGATACTGGTCAAAGGACATTTAATCAACTACCAATCTTCCAAACTTTGTGCTTTGTTTGTTAAAAATGCAATACAACTGTTTGTTTTGCTCCTGACATGATAAATAGGGCAAGTTTGCAAAGAAAAGACACACAAGTGGCTAGGTTTTATGGACAGGAAGAAAGTTTTGACGAAGGATGGACATAGCTACGCTGAAACATTGGAAGAAGCTGTATGCAGATGCCGTACTTACCTCAAAGGAAAGTTCAGATTCTTCCCCTTCTTCTCCCTCTTCACCCTCTTCACCTTCATTTATGTGGCAACTCTAGAGTTCAGCAGCAACATATGTGGAAGGACATTAAAAAAACCATATTGTTACTGATGGAGAAGAAAGTGTCCCTGCCCTCCACACAGTTGCCCATCTCTGCTCCATTGGCTCTACTTGCATGCAGCTAACAACAGGCTTGTACATAGAAAGAAAGCAAGAGCAGCATGTCCTTTCCAGTCTCAAAAGGAAAAGCTTCGGCTTTGTGTGTTAAGTTATCATACATACTTGAGTTTAAGCTGAGTTTTTCAGTCCTTTTTTAAGGCTGAAAAAGCCCCCCTTCCCAGCTTCTATTTGAGTCAAAGTTAATTATTTTACTTGTTATTCTTCTTTTTATTATTATATTTATTATATTTATTATTTTACTCTATTTATTATTACTGCATTTATTATTATACTCTATTATTATTATTACATGTATTATTTTACTCTATTATTACTATTAGTATTACATTTCTATTATTTTACTCTATTATTATTTTACTACATTTATTATTATATTTATTATTATTACATGTATTATTTTACTTTATTATTGTTATTATTACATTTATTATTTTACTCTATTATTATTGTTATTATTGGAAGGATATGTAAGCACATTTACATTGAAAAAAGTTAGAATAATGGTTTAATCAGAGTTGGGCAGTCTTATCTTAAATTACAGTTTTATGTAAATATTCAAAAAGATTTAACCTATGGATGCCTAAATTAATATAATTTTATTGGTATCTATTTTTATTTTGAAATTTACTAGTAGCTGCTGCATTTTC